ATTTAAAAATAGTCAACATAAGTAATTCCCCATTTCACGGTATGAGCTCTAGCAAAGTACATTAGATAATATAGCGTAGAGCAAAAGTTGACGAAAAGAAGAACCTTCAACTTTCTTGATGGGAATCTGAATCTCTTATCTCTTATCATTAATCAATTATTAGCGAGTGCTTTGAAGCACATATCTTCGATAATAAATGAGCTTTTAACTTTTTTTGTTATTGTAAAGCGCACTTGTCATTTGTGGAGTCAAGTTACCAAATGTGAAGTGCAACCTTACGATTGCTTTACTACTTGTCTACATCAGGTAACAAATTTTATGTGTCGTCCACCGTTATTAATGTGACGTAGTGAGCTGCTATCGGTAAGTTTTAGCTCTTCTTATTGTTTCATTAATGTTCAGACGGTTGATGTTGTTCCCATACTGACACAATTTGTTCTCATGGGCTGGCTGCTTTCCTTTTTGGTTTCAAGCATTGACCCTGGACGAATCTCGATTCCATTGTATCTGTTGATTGTATCGCAAACAATTTGTAATTAGAATTTGTTAGGTGACGTCATAGACATGATTACGCAACTTGAGTCATTTGCTAGTATGAGGAATTGCGAGAAACTGCGAGATACCACTGGGTAAATATCTTTGTTTGGTTGTAAGGGATAACTGTTTATTATATCACTAACATAATTTGCTGTAATTTAGATTTTGATCCATATTCAACCTCCCTTGTGAAAAGTACAGAGACTGACAGAAAGCTGGTGCAATAAATGGAGTTGTTTAGAAGCGTGGTTAGTTAATCCTCGCTAGCAAAACAATTTGCTTAAACCATTAAGTTTTCGGAAAAAAAACTCACACCTATAGCAGCTAACCATATTACTAAATAAATAAGTGACAGTGAACAAACATTGTTTTTGGTACAGATCTGAACCACCGTTTCCGCTTTACCTCAATTCTGCATAACATTTTTAACTACGTTGCATCGAAAGGATGTAGTGGTTGGCTTGTTAGTGCATTAGTTAGTTTATTTGCTACTGTTTGTTTTCTTACTGTAGACCCTGTGTAGATACTTTTCCCCTCATGAGACTGACAGTTTTCTGCTAGTTCTTGTGCCAATGGATGAAAAGACATGTTTAATGTATTAGTTTAGCACAAATATTTCTACCCTCAAACACGGCCAACTATAATGTGTGACAGGATAAAACAGAACGTATGGGGTCTTGACGATTAACTATTATATTACTTACCCTATTCTTTCCGGGAAAATGAAAATCACTCTAAACGCTTACAGTTAATAGGCCATTTTGCAGTTGTGTACTTAGTTGCCAAGCCTTTGATTCACAGTGAC